GGCCAGCAGACAGTGGCGCGCCCCAAGGCGGCCCACGGTGCATTCCGCGCGCGCTGGCTCGAGGATGCTGCGCCCTCAGGCCAGGCAGCGGTGACCTCTCGGGGGCCTCGGAAACAGTTTTGAGGCATCTTGGGTGCCATTTTGGGGCCGCTTGAGGGCCTCTTTTGGGCCTCTCGGGGGCCTCTTGGGGGCCTCTTGGGGGCCTCTTGGCTCTTGGAGCCTCTTGGGCGCCTTTCGGGGCCTCCTGCGGGCCTCCTGGGGCGGAAGGCTTTGATCTGCGGTTCGTGCTTCCACTCTTGGGCTCCTCTGGGGGGCGTCTCGGGGCCTCCTTGGGCTGTCTTGGGCGCCTCTTGGGGCCCAAGAGGCGCCCAAGACAGCCCAAGACTTGGGCCGTCTTGGGGCGCTCTGGGGCCGAGTTGGGGCCCTCTTGGAGGCCCCTTGGGTCGTTTTGGGCCTCTTCGGCCGTCGGGGAGTGCCGGAAAGGCGAAAAGGCGAGACTGCCAAAATCTTACGAAAACCCAAGGGAATCACTGTTTTTTGCCTTTTGGGGCCCTCTTGGGAGGCCTTTTGGGGGCCTCCTGGGGCGTCTCGGGGGCCTCTTGGGCCATTTTGAAACCATCTTGGGCGTCTTCGGGCGATCGTTCGGCGACTCGGGGCGCTCGTGGACCGTCTCGGGGGCCCCCTGTACCGTAATGGAAGCCCTGGAGAGCTGCAGGGAGGCGCCATGGCCGCCCAGGGTCCCCTGGGAGTACGGTAGGTTTGCGTCGTGTCGACCAGCGGCGACCCCAGCGCCGACGTTCAAGGTTGAACGCCGCCGGCGACCCAGAATCGATCGATGTTGAACGATTGGACGTTGCGGAGACGGCCGATCGTTCAAGGTTGAACGATCCCTGCGGTGTCAAAAACCAACGCTGGGGTCGGCACGACACGAACCTGCCGTAGGGGTGGTGCAGACAGCGAAGCGCTGAACGAAGAGTGGGTGGTCGTTGAGAGGACTCCAGAAACCTGCCAGATAGCCCTTGGCTTTCTTCCACGTCTCAACGTGCTGCAGGCGCGGTTGCGGATTACGGTAGTTTGCTTGGGCGGCGTGTAGAAATCGCGGAACACTCTTCGGTTGCGTTGGAGCCCATGGCGACGCGCGCTGCAGGTGCGCCCCCGATCGCGCGTCTCGCCCGCCGTTTTTTGGTGGCTTGTGGGGACTTTTCAACTACTTTGTTTGTTGCCGTAGAACCTGGGAAGGACTTGGAAAACCATCTGAATAGATTTTAGCTTCACTGATTGCCGAATGGGGATATTGAACATGGAACAGGAAACGTCGTAAACCACTCACGCCCAGAGGGCTGGTGGGATTCGCCACGGGAGGCACGCCCTTGTGATGCGGGCGCCACTATGGTCCTACCATTCAGGCGAAAGGCCCATTCGTGCAGACGGCAAGCGTTCATGTGCTAACAACGTGAAGCGCAAAATTGTATTATCAGGATGTTTGAGCACGCGCCGCCCTCCATCTTGTAACAGTTGCGTAGGCTTGAAGTTGTGGTGATCGATTGGGAAGGCCACTATTGGGACAACACTAGTTAGGATGACTTTGGCAAACAAGTCCTAAACAGCAGCACGATTTGATAAGGCACGTTGTGTGTGTGTGTGTGTGTGTGTCAGTGTGTGCGTCCTCTCTTCCGGCATGGCCCTGTGGCCTCCTCCGTTGCGGCATGACCCTCCCCGGCCCCGGGTGCTGGCTGGCCCTGGCCGCCCCCCCAGCCGCCCTCTCTGCCTGGTTTTCAGGCCTTGCCAGCGGGCCTCACCCGGCTTTGTCGGTGGGCTTGCCCCGCCCGCTGCTCCGCCCCTCCCTGGTGTCCCTGCTCTCGGGTTGCCCGGGCCGCTCGCCATTCGGCGCCTCGCAGGTCCCACGGATCTCGGCGCCCCTGCTCGCGCTCGTTCCTTTGCTGGGCCCTTTCCCAGCTACCCCCCGGCCCCTCCCCTGAGGTGGTCTTCTCTGGCTGCCCTGTGGCCTGGAAGGTCGGTCCGACCTCGGCGCACGGCCGCGTTGCTGCGCTGCCCGCCCCCAGCACAGGCTGGGCCTGTTCCCCCCGCCCAGCGCTGCCGCCCCTGGCTGCTGCCCCCCCTCCCCGGCTGCCCTGCGGCCGCCGCCCCGCTGCCCTGGCGCTGCCCCTGCCGCGGCCTGGCCCCGTTCTGAGCGGGCCCGGCCTCCCCTCCGTCCTGCCCGTGCTAGGCAACCCCCTCCTCCTTCTCTTGCATTGCGGCTCAATTCGCGTCTGTATGCCCCACACATGCACTGTCCGCCAGCGCAGTCACTCTGCCTAGCCGCAGACGCAAAGAGTGTGTGTGTGTGCGCGCGTGTGTTTGTGTTTGTGCTTGTTCTTGTGTTTGTTAACGTGTATGTGTATGTGTGTGTGTGTGTGTGTGTGTGCGCGCGCGCGCGCGCGTGTGTGTGTGTGTATATGTAAAACCGAAGGGCGGCACGATACGGCAGGCGGGCGGCATATTTTTCGCATTGTACAGCGCAGGCGCCGCACCGCACGCGGGCACGGCATGGTGCGGCACGCGGGCCCCTTCTTGCCGGCTACGGGGGCGGCGGATTGAGTGGCCTTCGGCCCATTCCGCCGCTGTACGTACCTAGGTTTAGGCGCGGGACCCAATGGGAACATGGTCGGACATGAGTTTTTTCCTAGGAGGTGAGCCTTTTGGGGTTATCTGGTTGGTTTCGTGGGTTCTTTTCGGGATTTTTTGGAAGCCTCATAGTGGGAGCCTCTGGGGACCTCTCGGGCCCAGCTTGGGGGAGAGGCTGCGGTGATCTGACGGTGAAGCGCTTTCCAGGTGGCTCTCGCGGTCGTCTTGGGGGCCTCTTGAGCTCTTTTTGGGAGCTTCGGGGGCCGTTTTTGGGCAGGCTTAGAGGCCTCCTTGCTACTCTGAAGTGAGCGTTTTTTTTCCCCTCCGCCCCGGCGTAATGCACGCTACCCGGGCCCCCCCCCGCTCCCAGGCAACGCTAAGGATCGTACTGGGCGGGGGTGCCTGGCCCCCCCCACCCCTACATGCTAGGGGGCGGACTGAGCTCACAGGCATGCCGTGGTGATGAAATTGCATGATTTGTTGCTCACAAGCTTGTTGTGGCGCTCGCTCGCAGGCTACTCACCTGTTGCGGCGCCGAGCTCACAGGCATGGCGTGGTGCCGAAAAGCATATTTCGTTGCTCGCATGCGTGTTGTGCGTGTTGTGGTGTTTGCAGGCTACTGCTGTGCGCATAGGTCATGCGGACTCACTGCCACGGTGCCCTGCTCGGAGGGCGGCGGGTCGGGGGACCGATGTCGAGCGGCTTTCGGTTGGGCGGGCGTGCAAGATTGAACGCGACGCAGGGGCTCTTTTCGGGCCCCAGGACCCGCAGAAGGGAACCCACGGCGCGAAATCGATATCGAAGATGGGGTCGAGGGCTTCCAGGGTCCTCCAGGAACACAGGTCGTTCAAGATTGAATGGTCCACGCGGCGTCAGAAACCAACGCCGACGTCATTGCGACACGAACCTGCCGTACTCATCCTCCTTACTGTTTCCTTCCCGCGTCCTGAATGCAAGCGTTTTTTGGGAATTCCCTTGCGCTGGAGCTTTCGACTCCATCGTGAGGCTCCTGCTGTTCCTCCTGTTGCTGCCCCTCCCCCCGCTCCGTATTCACCTCCTTCAACGAAGGCCGTCAGGAACGTCGAAAGAGGAGAGGACGAGGACAGGGAGGAGGTGCAGGAGGGGAAAGAGGAGGAGGATGAGGAGGAGGAGGAGGAGGAGATGAATGACGAGTCCTTAAGGCCTCTGTGGTCTGTGGCGAGCTCCGCAAGGAGGCCTTGCAAGCTACTAGCGTGCTCGTTGGCACGTTTGGCGTTCTGGTGTGCACAGGCGTTGTGGTGCACGGAGGCATTGTGGCGTGCTGAGGCGCTGCGGTACACATGGTTGCTGTGGTGCACACGGGCGCTGTGGTGTACACAAGCGCAGGCAACGAGGTGCACGCAGGCTGCTGCAGTTTATACAGGTACACGCGGTATTTGTGGTGTACGGAGGCACTGCGGTGTACACATGCAGCGGTGTGCTGCACGCAGGCATTGGCCACTATCGTGTACGCAGGGACTGGTGCACACGGGCGATTGCCTGTTGCGCGGACGCACCCTGGCGGGTGCACGCCGCGGCCGCCGTTACCGTTACCTTCCCGCCCGAATCCCCGGGTAACGACCGTTACCTTGGGGGGGGGGAACAACCGCTCATTAAGCGCGTTTGAAATCGACAAGGCGAGATTACCAACATCAGGCAACAGCTATGTTTTCTTCGATACCGTTGGGCTCTTGGGCTGGCCCCCGCGGGGCCCAACATACCCCCAAGACGGCTTCACGGCTGGCTCTGCGGACCATTTGAGGGAACGTTGGAGGCTTGGGCCCCAAGGCAGTTCCCAGGGTCTCGGGAAAGGTCACGCGACGCACACCAGAAGGGCACGGACGCGCTCAGAAATCTTGCCAATGTTTGGTTGGGGCCTTCGATTCGTACTTCAAAATTTCTCTGGGCGTGATGACAATCCATTCAGTGCCTTCGGCATGATGGCATGGTGAAGGATCAAATTCGTAGACAATGTTTTGGAATTGGTGTAAACGTTGAGGGACCGCTAACACCTATTAACGCTTCCCTCCTCCTCTTGCTGGTTCCTCCCTCCTTGCTTTCTTCTTCTTCCCTACTTCTCGATCCTCCATCTTCCCCGAGCTACTTCACTGTAGCCCCTATCGAATCCTGTAAACTCCTCCATATTTCCCCATCTCTCAATCCTCCTCCTCCTCCCCCTCTTCCCCTTCTCCTCCCCCCCCCCCTGACTTCGACGGCGACGGCGACGACGACGACAGCGACAACGACGAAAACGACAACGAAAACGACGATGACGACACCGACGCCGACGACGACGACGATGACGACGACGACGACAACAGTCGTCGCCCGCGCGGGCCCGCCACGGCGGCGGCCAGGAGACTGTCCCCGACCTGTCGCGCCTCTGCACGACCACCTGGGTTATGAAGGCGGGCCCCGGCGCAAGGGGGAAGGGGAGGATGAGGAGGTTGATGGAGCGTGGGGTAATGAGGGAGATGCTGATGCTGCTGATGATGACTGTGCTGCTGCTGCTGATGATGATGATCATGGTGATCGTGATGAAGATGAAGATGAATATGGATATGGAGATGGAGATGCTGATGATGCTGATGATGCTGGTGCGGATGATGATGATGATGATGACGATACTGATGAGGCTGATGATCATAATCATAATGATAATAATGATGTCGATGATGCTGATGTTGTTGTTGATGGTTGCGGTGATGATGACGATGCTGATGACGCTGCTGATGGCGATGATGACGACGACAATGATGTCGATGAGGACGATGATGCTGCTGATGATGATGACACCAATACTGCTGATAATGGTAGTGATGATGATGATGATGTTGCTGCTGCTGATGATGCTGATGACCATGATTATCGTGTTGATCATGACGGTTGATATGGAAATGATGATGATGATGATGATGATGACGATGCTGAAGCTGATGCTGCTGATGATGATGCTGGATGCTGTGGTGATGATGATGCCGCTGATGATGATGATGCTGATGATGATGGTGATGATGGTGATGTCGATGCTGATGCTGATGATGATGATGATGATGATGATGATGATGATGATGCTTATTGTGATGATGATGATGATGATGGTTCTGATGCCGGTAGTGATGGTGATGCTGCTGCTGACAACGACGACGATGAAAATGAGGTTGATGATAATGCTGCTGATGCTTTTGCGGTTGCTGCTGATGATGGTGATGATTATGATGATGGTTGATGATACTGGTGACGATGATGATGTTGATGATGATGATCATGGTGCTGATGCTGATTCCGATGCTGATGTTGCTGATGATGATGCTGCTGATGGCGCTGATGACGATGATGATTCTGCTGATGATGATGCTGATCATGCTGATGATGTTGATGCTGATGATGATGATGATGCTGATGCGGATGAGGATTGTGATGCGGATGAGGATGAGGATTGTGCCGAGGATGCCGCTTTTCCAGCTGCCACTGTTGTTGCTGCTACTGATACTGTTGATCATGCTACTCATGATGATGATGATGATGATGATGATGATGATGATGATGATGATGATGATGATGATGATGATGATGATGATGATGCTGCTACTGACGATGATAATGATGATGATGATGATGATGGTGGTGATGATGATGATGGGGATGCTGATGATAATCTGATGATGATGATGATGATGGTGGTGATGATGATGATGGTGATGGTGATCGTGATGTCGACGATGATGATGATGATGATGATGATGGTTCTGGTGGTGGTGATGATGATGGTGATGATGCTGATGACGACGATGATGATGATGGTGGTGGTGATGATGATGCTGATGGCGATGCTGATAATGATGATGCTGATGTTGATGATAACGATGATGATGATGATGCCGATGAAGATGAGGTTGCTGGCGTTGATGATGGCGGTGATGGTGATGGTGATGATGATACTGATGATGATGATGATGATGATGATGATGGTTATGATGATGATGCTGATGAAGATGAGGTTGCTGAGATTGATGATGTTGGTGATGGTGATGGTGATGGTGGTGATGCTGATGCTGGTGATGATGATGACGATGATGATGCTGATGATGCTGATGCTGCTCATGATACTGATGATTATGAGGATGCAGCTAATGCTGATGACGATGATGATGCTGATGCTGCTCTTGATGATGATGGTGGTGGTAATGATGATGCTGATGATGCTGATGCTGATGATGATGATGATGATACAGGTGATGGTGATAATGCTGACGATGCTGATGATGATGCTGATTATGCTTATGATGCCGATGGTAATGATGATCGTGATGATGATGCTGTTGTTGATCATGATGATCATGATGATTGTGGTGGTGGTGATTATGATGATTATGCTGCTGACGACGATGAGGATGATGATGAAGAAGATGTTGATGAGGATGCTGATGCTGATGCTGATGATACTGATGCTGGTGCTGATGCTAATGATGATGATGCTGATGGTGGTGGTGGTGATGATGATGGATGATGATGATGATAATGATTATGATGATGCTGGTGGTGTTGGTGGTGATGCTGATGATGCTGATGATGCTGATGCTGATGATGGCTGATGATGCTGCTGCTACTGATGATGATGATGAGGAGGAGGAGGAGGAGAAGGAGGAGGAAGAGGACGAGGGGGAGAACAGGAGCACTTCGTCTGTGACACATCTTCTGCGTGCAGGCTTGTACGCACGCGACACGCTTGATGTACAGACTGCATATGGGCTGCGCATGGCGGTGTGGTGGAACGCCTCGCTTATCATATCCACTCTTTCTTCAACTGGCTGTGGTGGTAGGCTTGCTATTCGCAGGCGCTGTTGGCCGTGCATGCCCAAAACTTGAGGGAGTGGGAGCGGATCTCTTTCAATCGACAGGTTGGGGAGCGATAGCAGCAAGAACAAGCCAGGCGATAAGCCACTTGTTCGGGCACCCGTGGTATCCCATGCTCGCCAGCAGTCGGACGCATCGATCACAGCTTAGACTGTGCATCGACGGTTGCGCTTGCGCTTCAGCATGCGATGATTGCATTGGGGCATGCAGTTCTTCCTTAGGGCAGGAGCTGGCTGCTGGCTGGACTGGCATCTTGCACTGCCAGTTCCTCATAGTACCAACGCGCCTAAATAATGGAAATCAGGCGCATAGAACGGCCTGGACCATGTGGTAGCATAGTGCTCGCCAGTCTGGTCCGCAGCACTATTAGTCGGCGCGCCATCTTATCAAGCTTGCACTGTCGGCAAATGTGCATATGTGTGTGGGCAGCGCACGCGTGGAGCATGCGCGCTGATATGGCGTCTCTGATGATGCACCATGATGTGGTAGCGGCGCCGTTTGCTTCAGCGTTGCTAGTGCATTCAGATGGTACGTGTGGTCTGTCGTTGTGGGCATCGAGCGGGGGTTGGTGGGGCGTGACTCCTCCCACTCAGAGAAGATAGAAACCGGGTGCCATACGATCTAGAGATGGGGGCGTGTGAGAACGCCGAAACATCGGAGGGCAGTCCGAGCACCGTCGACGCACCGTACGAATACTGCTTAGATGTCGTGTGGGCACTGCCCCGCCAGAGCAGGACCAGGAAGACGAGCAGTTGGACATCAGGACGAGGAAAGGAAGAGATGAGGAGACGGGAGAAGGATGAGGCGTAGGAGGAGGACGAAGAGGAGGAGAACGAGGAAGATGAGGACGGGGTGGGGATTATGATGGTGATGGTGATGATGGTGATGGTGATGGTGATGGTGGTGGTGGTGGTGATCACGATTATGATGATGCTGCTGCTGCAGATTATGATGATGATAATGATGATGATGATGATGATGATGATGATGCTGATGATGATGATGATGATGATGATGATGATGATGATGATAATCATGATTATGATGATGATGATGATGATGATGATGATGATGATGATGATGATGATGATGATGATGTTGATCCCCTCTCTGGTGCCCATAGTGTTTTTCAATGGAAGTTCCCATCCTTTTGTTCGCACCCAGTTTTTTACAAGGGAACGTATTGAGGTTCAGAATGCGTTGTCGGCCACCAGACTACAACAACAAGGCTCCCGCCTGACACTTCCCCACAAGTTGTTCAAATCGCGCTCTCGCGCGGGACTTCTCCACACTTTATGCAGGAATCGCGCTCTCGCGTTGGACTTCCTCGCAATTTATTGAGACGCCGCGCCCTCCACACGCAGAAATCACGTTCCCGCTCTGGACTTCCTCACGGTTTGCCTGGAAATCTCGTTATCGTTTGAGACTTTCTCGCGATTCATGCAGTATTGACGCTTCAGCGACCCGCCCGCTCGACCAGGCCGTCTTGGCCCGCCCGACCCGCCCGTCTTGATCTGCCGCTTGTTAAACTGCTCCTAACCGCCCTCCTGCGAATCGCTCTCGTCCTCAATCCTTCTCCCTCCTCCGTGTCCCTTCCCTCCTCCCCTTCCCCTGTTGTGGCTGCGACAACTACACGTGGCAGGTAAGCAAGATATACCCCAAGGGGGGTACGATCGAAGATGAAAAGGGCGGATGGTGAGAGAGTGTGATGTACATGTTGGATGACACGCAAGCGGATTAGAGCGAATAGGCTCAAACTGATTGTTGTCGTTGTTGACCATGGTGATGATGACAAGGATAATGATTAGGATGATGACGATGACGATGACGTTGACGGTGACGATGAGGATGATGAGGATGAGGATGATGATGACGATAACGATGACGATGCTGATGATGAGGATGATAATGAGGATGATGATGCTGGTGAGGATCTTGAGTATGATGATGTTGATGATGATGATGATGAGGATGATGATGATGATGATGATGATGATGATGATGCGGATGATGATGCGGATGATGATGCGGATGCTGATGATGCTGATGATGATGACGATCATGATGCTGATCATGGTGATGACGACGATGATGATGATGATCTGATGATAGTGATGATGATGCTGCTTATGATGATGATGATGATGATGATGATGATGATGATGACGATGATTGGGATTTCTGGTGGTATAGAGGTGCCACGCTGACGGACGCCTCAGATCTCAGACTTCTGGGATGGAGCGATGGAGGCAATCGTGACGGACAAACTATGCCTGTGCACGCTTGAACTCTCAGAATGCAGCGAGCTCACTCTTCCACCACCATCGTCGCGGCATGTGTCCAGTATCATCCTCGGAGGGCCAAGAACAGTCTAGAAGTATAATGCTAAGCAATCTGTATTCCTTGCTGCAGGAGTGCTGGCATTCAGCGCCGAGATGCCCCACCCAACGAGCAAACGACGGACTTGTCCGACCATCCTCAGAATTTCATGCAGTTGTTGTTGCATTCTTCCCTTGGGTACTACACTGGCGAGGCATACGAACTCAAAGCC